CAGAAACCCATCGCCTCAACCAAGTCGTCTCTCGATACGGTTGAATTTGACAGCGTTCTTGATCTATTGGAGGGACCCGATGTTAGCGGATAGTCCTACGGCGAACAGGCATACTCCCCTGGAAACAGAGTCGAAGCCCGCAAATACACCCTTCCCATGAAGAAGAAGAAGGTCATTAGTGACAGAAAGGAATCCACCCACCTGGTTTCGAGTGTTTTGTCCCCGGACGGGCAACCCCAGCGCATGGCGACGACCACGGTAGGTACCGGTTTCCTTCAACCGTTTGATATTCTCGAGGACTTTTCTCCGGAGGTCGTTCTCGATCTTCATGTCGGACAGGGCGGCCGTGATATCAAGGACCTGCTTGTTGCCCAGTTCGCCGACCTTGCATGTCGGGTGGATGTGGAAGCGGGCGAGCAGGCGCGAGGAGGTGTTGTTGCCGATGCCGAAGAACGACTCGAGGGATTTCTGGGTTGCGGTCAGAGGGGGGGAGGGATGACTCGATTAATGCAGGTTGCTTGCCTTGACGAGGTTCCGCTCGGGGAAGTTGACGCCTAGGATGAAGACCTGATCGAGATTTGTTAGCGGGGTGCGGAGCTCAATCGGCAGACACGGGTTCAAATTCATAGATTTACCATCTTGTCTAGTACAAAAATCTTTGGGCTTTAGGAAAAAGAACTGGCGATGGGAGCTCGATATCTCGTTGCTTGCTCTGCCGGGGCTCTCTCAACTGCCCGCCGCGATGATTGAGCGCGGGAGAAAATCCGCCGGTAACAACGTTTCTCCGGGCCAAATGACGGTAAGTTTCAAGATGCTGTGACGCTTTGCCGGATGATGTTCGTCCCTAATGCTAAACAGAATGTATGAATACCGGTACTATGCTTATCGGCAAACCGCAAATTACACATTCCTACCACCACTAGCACTGCGCTTTCGGAACCTTGAATTTCATGCATCTTACTGGATCAGGAATGATGGGCTTGGCACCTCCGCAGTAGGGCCAGTAAGTAATGCAAGCTGGCCTCGATGCGGTCCAATTGCTTCTCTCCTCATTGTCTGCAATTGCCCCCTTCATCTTACCCCCCAGACAATTGCATTCGAGGTTCAGTGTTTTTGAAGTCATTCTTCAGCAACCATGAACTTCAGAAACCTTTTCCTGTCCTTCTTCTTGGTCCTGGCGGTCGGGTTCGCCCTCGTACACGCCGAAGAGGCTAAGCCTCGGGGCCCGAAGATTACCAGTAAGGTATGAGATGCGAGCTCTGAGCTTGAGCGCTTGCCCTCAAGCATGCTGGATTACCCCGGATTCTAGGACAATTCGTGCTGACGGATGCTTGATGCAGGTGTACTTCGATATTGAGCATGGCGATAAGCCCTTGGGCAGAGTTGTCCTTGGTCTGTATGGCAAGACTGTTCCCAAGGTATGTGGATATTTACCACGCAGCTCTGTTTGTAGCCGGACTCAGTGCTAACTCAAACCCCTATCCTAGACCGCTGAGAACTTCCGGTATGAATCTCTGAGCCTTGGTCCAGCTGGAATTTTGATCACCACTGACATTGCTCACTTCCAGGGCTCTCGCTACCGGTGAGAAGGGCTTCGGTTATGAGGGTTCTACTTTCCACCGTGTCATCAAGGACTTCATGATTCAGGGTGGTGACTTCACTCGTGGTGATGGTCAGTAGTCATTCCCTGTCATTCTTGACTGCGTGCGGTGAGTCCAATGCTGATTGTGGACGAAAACAATTAGGTACCGGAGGCAAGTCCATCTATGGCGAGAAGTTCGAGGATGAGAACTTCAAGATTAGGCACACTCGCAAGGGTCTTCTGAGCATGGCCAATGCCGGCAAGGACACCAACGGATCTCAGTTCTTCATCACCACTGTCCCCACTCCGTGAGTTTGCACCCTTTCTCCATAATAGCGTAGCCGCTTGCTGATTCTCCCCGAAACAGTTGGCTCGATGGCCGCCACGTTGTCTTCGGCGAGGTGCTCGAGGGTTACGAATTCGTCGCCCAGATTGAGAACGTGCCCAAGGGCCGCGGCGACAAGCCCGTGGAGACGGTCAAGATCGTGAAGAGCGGCGAGCTGCCGGTGGAGGAGAAGGCTGAAGAGAAAGGTAGCAGCCACGAGGAGTTGTAGACTGGCCCTCCTGCAGTCTGCGCTTGCTTCTAGAAGAGTAAAGTCTGCGATGTGCTGATACCTGCTGTGTAAAGAAGAAATGATCTCGGAGATCCCGTCGCAACCTTCGGCAACTCCTGTGGCTCCTCCGGTTGCCTCCCTCATCACTTCTGACAGCTACCCTTATATTTACCCGAAAATTGCGGCCCTCGCTCTTGTCGTTGGCCTGCTGCTGATCTTGATCAAGCGCAGCACTCCAGGACAGCGCGAGAAGGCTGAGAGAAGTGTTGTTTAGAATCGAAGACGGAAGCTCCGCCATGCAGCAACGGATTCGTACTCCATAGCTTACTCTAATCATTCAAGGAACTAGTGCAACCATAATTCGTTCTCTCTGTGTTCGATAACTTATAGATCCCGCTATCTAAGAGCTTGTGATCCTTGATGCATACGCAGCCATTCGGCCGCCCTTACTCACCGGTCTTCTTGTACGTAACACATTTCAGCCCTGCAAGTATAGACTGCCATCAAGTCTTGCCAAGTTATCACGAAGAAGTCGGTCAAAATCTCAAGAGGACCATCCAACTTTAGACCAGGCAGTCGGGCATATGAGGGGGACCCTTGCTTTATCTTGACCCGTCCTTTATGGGTTGAACCTATGACAATTTTGGCGAAACCCGTAAGTATTACGATGCATTCCCATCCTGGCCAGCAGAGTTCACTACTTTTGAAAGCAGCACTGCAGCGACGTGGAAAGGCTCGCTGTATAATCTCCGTACCACGTCGTGCAGCCCAGGATCATGCCATGAGCCTCCGTCAAGGTATGGTACCAGCTCTGGGCATGATTCAAGCGATAGCCGCGCCTTTTTACTTGCCTCTGCAGCGCAAAAAATGGTGTTTGTCGCTGTACGGGAAACAAGCGCACACGAGCCTTAATATTTCAATTGGAGCGGTGACCATACAACTACAGTACTCATCCAAGGACTCTGCTACAAGCACATTTGATCCCTCATCCGATTAGTTATTAATAGCCTCACCGATATCACATCTTGCCTTGGACACCGTACTAAATACTTCGATAGTTCCGACCAGGAGCTGTCTGTCTTGTACCCTTATGCACGATGAGGGCAAACCCTTAGCAGCCAGCCACTATATAGACTCGCTCTGAAGAGAGCGAATAAGTGATTGGATATATCCGACTTTTTTTTTTAACTAAGCTGCTAGGTGCCAGAGTGTGACGATGTTGCCATCACGTTGTCCAAGGCAAGGGACAAATGGATGAAAGACATACAACCACCCTGTGGGGATACAGAACTTCCAAGATGCAATTACATTGTCCATCCTATACTGAAGTGATGGTACGACTGAAGGTGTGAGTCATGAGCAGCAAGCCATCTTCGAGTACTTTCTCAACCATTCTCGAAGAAATACATTGTACACACGCGTATACTCAGTGTAGGTAAGTATAGGTACTGAACACATCTGTCGAGCGATGAAGCGGCAAGGAGGCGACTTGGGTCTGACGACTAAGCAGATACGTCACGGGAGATTATTGCTCGCGGTAATCCTCCGTACCCGTAACGCTGGGAACATCTTTTGGCTTCCCGTCTCTGCCTGAGGCGTCATCATTAAGGCTTCGCCGCCGCCGTCGCCCCAAGATTTTTTTTCGCCCCCTTCAGATTGGCCCATTCATTAGGAGTCCAGGATGATGTATTGCAAGATATCCTCGGGTGCATTTGACTTACTCAATAAAATGGACTCAAGAGGAACTCATAGAATATTCAGAAAATCATCGGATTGTTTATGTTCTTGCGTAGCCTGAGTAATACGACTCGAATGTAATTAGGTCAAAATGATATCTGAATGAAAGAGATAGACAAACAGCCAACACCAGCGCAAACTATCCGTACTGAGTACTCCGTACTAACTAACGCTGTGCAGTGTTTGGACTTTGAACTGGGGTCCAGCCCAGAGGCTAACTTATCATCGGCAGCACAGCCAAAACAGTGGAAAACAAGTTGGAACCCTCCCGCCGCCACCGTGTCCGTGTTTGGCTGGCGTCTGGTACGAGTTTTTCTTCTTTTTTTCTTTTTTTCTTCCTTTTTCTTTTTCTTTTCTTTTTTTTTTTTCTTACATGGCTGTATTGCTGTTCGCCTTTCCCCCTTCGCTTCGTTAAAATTTACACGTTAAACCTTTTTCCCCCTTCTGGGTCCAGTCGATTCCCCCAATAAGCAAGCCAACCCGTTCAATGCTAACCGCTGAACAGCCTTGAAGATTCTTACTTGGTAGACAGAAAAAGTGACAAGAGAGGAAGAATGGTCGAGGGTGGCTGTTTACCTACACACACACACACACCTGATAATTGTCCAGTAGTTACATGCAGCAAATGTGAAAAGAAGTAGTAAAGCAGTGAACATCTGATGGTTTTTAATCAATGAATTTGTAGTCATCCTTTCTTTGCCTCTTTTCAAATCTCTTCCCACAAAAAAAACTCTCTTCTTCTTCCTTCTTTAACTACTTCTTCAAACCAAAAAAAATACCACCCACATCCCCCCCCCTCTCTCCCTCCGCTGCTAAAATCCAAATCTGGTTTCAATTTTTTCCCTCCTCCTCTCCTCTCCTCTCTCTTACTCCTCCCCCCCCCTCCCAACATATCTCCACACCGTATCCTCACCAACTCTCCTACCACCTCTCTTCCACCTTTTTTCCTTCTTCCTTTTTTTTTGCTACACCGTAATAGAGGTTTAGATCTGGGAGATCGCCTTGTTTTGCACTTCTCAAATTCTCCCTCAAGGTCTCTCTTTACTCCTTTCTTTCGTCTTTTGACACTGTGTCACTTGCTGTCTTATTCGGTCTCTTGTGTATTGCCACTCAGTAGAGACACGGAATTTTTTTTATCTGACGTCCTCATTCCTTTCGTCCTGTTGTTATACAGAAAAGAAAAGGAATCCTACATCGGACGCGATTCTAGACAGCAACCTGTAATCGCTGCATCTCTTGATATCTTCGCCAAACACAAAAAGCATTGAGATTTTTCCTCTTGTACGTCTTACACACCCCGGCCTACGATTGCGCCACAACTGCAAAACAATTCACTTACGTTTTTATCTGTCTCATTCAGTCCGTGAAACACCGCAAATATGGCCGACGGTTTGAAGATGGGAAACCTTTCCCTTAACGAGTCTCAGCATGCGCCCGCTGCTCCCGCCAACACGGGTCGCGCTGCCTACATCCCTCCTCACCTTCGTGGACGCCCGATGGGTGCGAACATGGACGGCGCTCCGGCTCCGGCTCCGGCTCCTGCTGCTGCTGCTGCCGCCGCCGCCGCCGCTCCTCCTCCTGGTCCCGCTGCTAACAACTCCTGGGGTAACAGGTATGTGATATCTCCCACCTCCCAAAATTCCACTTGTTCTCGGTGGCACGAAATAGGTTGCCTCCTCAGAACTGTCCACAGCGGCTGACTTGGTATGCTTTGACACGACAGAGGAGGCCCTCGTGGTGGAAACTGGGCTAACGCTAACGCTCCTGACTTCAGCCCTCGCGGTCCTTCCAATGGTAACCCTAACTGGACATCCCAAGACGGTCAACGCCGGCCTTTTAACCCAGATGCTTACGGAAACCCAGGACATGGAGGCTCCTATGGCGGTAGCTCCGGTGGCTCTGCCCGCGGCTCCGGAGATGGCCAGTGGCGCGACGGCAAGCACATCCCCGGCCCAGCCAACCCCCGCTTGGAGCGTGAACTGTTCGGTGTTCCCAACGATCCCACCAAGCAGAACACCGGTATCAACTTCGCCAACTACGATGACATCCCCGTGGAGGCCTCCGGCCACGACGTTCCCGAGCCTGTCAACACCTTCACGAACCCTCCTTTGGATGACCACCTGATTGCCAACATCAAGCTGGCCTACTACCAGACCCCTACTCCCGTCCAGAAGTACTCCATCCCCATCGTCATGAACGGCCGCGACTTGATGGCTTGCGCTCAGACTGGTTCCGGAAAGACTGGTGGTTTCCTCTTCCCTATCCTGTCTCAGGCTTTCCAGCACGGTCCCTCTGCGGCTCCCGCCCAGGCCTCCGGTCAGTTCAGCTATGGCCGTCAGCGTAAGGCTTACCCCACTTCCCTCATCCTGGCTCCTACCCGTGAGCTTGTCTCCCAGATTTTCGATGAAGCCCGCAAGTTCGCCTACCGTTCTTGGGTCCGCCCTTGCGTTGTCTACGGTGGTGCCGACATCGGTTCTCAGCTCCGTCAGATCGAGCGTGGCTGTGATCTGCTCGTGGCCACCCCCGGTCGTCTGGTCGATCTGATTGAGCGTGGCCGTATCTCCCTTGTCAACATCAAGTACCTCATTCTTGATGAGGCTGATCGCATGCTGGACATGGGTTTCGAGCCCCAGATTCGCCGTATCGTCGAGGGCGAGGATATGCCTCACGTCAACGATCGTCAGACTCTGATGTTTTCTGCCACCTTCCCCCGTGACATCCAGATGCTGGCCCGTGATTTCCTGAAGGACTACGTCTTCTTGTCCGTTGGTCGTGTTGGTTCCACCTCCGAGAACATCACCCAGAAGGTCGAATACGTTGAGGACCACGACAAGCGCTCCGTCCTGCTCGATATCCTCCACACCCACGGCACCAGCGGTCTCACTCTGATTTTCGTTGAGACCAAGCGCATGGCCGATTCTTTGTCCGATTTCCTGCTCAACCAGCGCTTCCCCGCCACTGCTATCCACGGTGACCGCACCCAGCGTGAGCGTGAGCGTGCCCTGGAGATGTTCCGCTCCGGCCGTTGCCCCATCCTTGTTGCTACTGCCGTTGCTGCTCGTGGTCTTGATATTCCCAACGTCACCCACGTTATCAACTACGATCTGCCCACCGACATTGACGACTATGTTCACCGTATCGGTCGTACTGGTCGTGCCGGTAACACTGGTATCGCCACTGCCTTCTTCAACCGTGGCAACCGTGGTGTCGTCCGTGACCTCATCGATCTGCTCAAGGAAGCTCACCAGGAGGTTCCCTCCTTCCTTGAGAGCATTGCTCGTGAGGGCAGCGGATACGGTGGCCGTGGCGGTCGCGGCGGTCGCGGCCGTGGTACCAACGCTACCCGTGACATGCGTCGCATGGGCGGCGGTGGCGGTATGGGCGGCGGCGGCGGCTCTTTCGGTGGTAGCGGTGGCAGCTACGGTGCCCCTGGCGGTGGCTACGGCGGTGGTGGCAGCTTCGGCGGTCCTCCCTCCTATGGCGGCGGCGGTGGTGGTGGCGGCTACGGCGGCTACAGCGGCGGCGGCGGTGGCGGTGGTGGTAGCTACGGAAACCCTTCGGGCCCTACTGGACCTTCGTCCTGGTGGTAAATCCGAAGTTGTGATTTCTGACGAGGCCGTCGGGTCTGATTGGCTCCTTTCATCTCTTCTTTGTCTGTCCCCATAACGGACACGATCAGAACGAGTCCCGAGTCTACTTTTTACTCTCTTCCTCTCTCCCTCTCTCTTCTTCTCGGGCCGGCTTTGTCATGACTGCCACGACTTCCATCTAGACATTTTTTCCCTTCCCTCTCTTACATGTGACTGTCTGATGTCTTTTTTTCTCGTTTGATGTCCCGGTGTTTTCATTCATCCATTTACTTTATCTACTGCAGAGCATCTTTTTATTTTCCTTGTTTTTAGACATGGGTTTTCGATGCGGTCCGATCTCCTCTCGCTGCTCCTGGTTATGACATTTTTCTTAATCGAGAGCATTTGGGTCGGGCATGGATGTCATAGAATGCGTTTGTGTTTCTCCTGTGACCGCTTCCATCAAGATACCCTTTTTGTTCTCGGGCGGCCCTGTGGAGATCTGCTTGAAAAGACGCGTGCCGAGCGGGTGTGCCGGCTTTTCGTGCTCTGAAAAGTGCTTTTATGAGTTGTTCCCTGCTTGGTGCTAATCAACTGCATCGACCGTGTCTCGCAACATAGATTTTTTTTCAGTTTCGGTATCTCATGGCGGATTTCCATATTCCATTTCTTTCCTTCCATCACTGTGACTTGCTATTTGCCTCTGTTTCTTTTCCTGGCTGGGTGATTTCCTTCAGTCTGGAATGGTCTGTCCCGGGTTGCGCAACTGGTCTTGTGCCATGGATTTGAGCCAGAGCTTTTTCTCGAAAGCCTGTTCCTCGTTTTTCCTTCCGCGGGCACTGGTGCCTCGGTTATTGCATATCTGGGAATGGTGGTTTACTGGTAACACAGACAGATGGGGCCGATAGAGGTGGTATCTCTCTGATCTGCTTTTTGCATTGTGTATGGCGTTGGCTTGAGCTACTGTGTGCACCAAATGATTCTCTGCACCGGGGTCCGTGGAGGCTGACACTGAATGGGATCTCTCTGTTTCTGTTTTCATATCTCGGATCCGTGGAGGATACGCTGCTTTAGACGGCGCTACTTTGTGGGGTGTTCATGGTCTCTCAGGTCGGTAGCAATTCGAGGCCAACTCACTTGTTGATGTGTCTCATAAACCGAAAGCTACTAGCTATTTACTCGCTCGTTGCCTGAACAAAAAAAAGTTTGAGTCATATTCATCTGCCTTGGGCTCTTTTCTAAGCTTGTATTGTAGTGTGTTCATCTTGCGTAAACAAGGAACAGTTAGGTGTTATGGCTATTTTCAGAGTCGCTGGGATTCAGCTGATAACATAACACTCTTGGTAGATGTATGGTTTCCAGCCGGAGAGTTTTTCTCCTAATATTTGATCTAGAATTCAGGACACCCTTAAAATATCTGGGACTTGATAACATCAGACAGATAGAAATATGGGGAATCACCGTCGCAGCATGCATGTCTGACTATATACACAGTAGGGAGCCGGGATGGGGCAGGCCCTTCTCACCATTCATATTGAACAATCGATCCGACACTAATAGTCTAATTATCCCGATACTGTTCTCTGGTATTGTTACTTGCTGCTAGTAACCTGTGATAATTAGCATAATTTCAGTGAATAGAGTGAATCATTAGTCAGACCCGCGTCCTGTACCGGCCGGGGGAGTGAATTGAGCCCCCAATCAATTAAGAATAAGATCACCATCGCGGATCACGTTCCCACGGCATCCTCACCCCAGCTTCCTTTTCTTTTTCTCATCTCACTCACTCACTTCCTCAAAATTCCTCCTGTTACTGTCGCCTATCACCCTTCCTTCTTGATTTACGCCTTTCCATCTACCTCTCTTTCTCTAACACAATCCCTTTCGGCTGCTTTGCATGTTATAAGCCCTTCATCGAGTCCTTCCTTGATCGTCCGCGGCCGTCACTTATCGATCGGTCGTCCCATCCAACCCATCGCTCTCGACTCCTTGCTTTTGCGTCATCTGCTGTCCACGGGGGTAACATAGGAAACCAAATCCACATCGATCAATCACAAAAACGCATCATCCATTGCACGAACATAGCTTTACCGGTCCCGTCACTTCCCAATACGAAGATGGCGGAGGTCGAGAGCAGCGTCGCGGACGAGTCGTTGGCGCAGTCCGAGGCCCCCGACGAACAGCAGACCCATAACATGACGGTCGGCATTCGGCGACAAGCCAATGGTACGATCGGCTCAGTTTATTCGGGCAACAAAATCCGGCACCTGAAGAAGGAGGATGGAATTCCTCTATGGCGCAAGGACATCCAGTACCAATTTCTCAAGCTTGTCTTCGAGGATACAACCCCGGTCTTCACCCGCTGGCCTGACGGGGAGAAAGGTCTGGACTTTGCCGACATCTACATCGATGCTATGGCGAGAAGCAGCAAGACGAGTAAGATCTTGAAGGATAAATTGCAGAGTGATAAGAAGGCGGCCATCAGCATGGCCATGGTTTGCCTGTTGGTCAATTTTGGACGCATGAACACCACGCTCAATTGTATGTTTATGCTTACTACTCTCGTGCGCTACATGTTCACATGGATAATGACGCTGACATGTTTCCTAGTTTTCCCCGAGATGCGTGCTCAGCTGCGGACTTATCACTCCATTCCTTCACTGCAAGCGACACAGGACCCCAATGCCTACAAACAGCTGCAGGACGCGCCTCGTCTCAAGTCGATTCTCAAAGGCGCATCCGAAGACGTTGACCAGCCCAACACGCTTGACAGAATCAAACGTCAGCCAAAACCCCGCACTAACCCCGTCAATCTGATCTTTGTCCTGGCCCAATATGCCCCGAAGGTGTCGGAGATGCACTTCTTCCCTCCCCGTGACTTCTTTGACTTGGTCATGAGAGGTACACTCAGCAGTCGGAGCAGAGCCAAAGCTTTCCTGTGGTTGATGTGGTGGTATCTAGAAAGTGACTTCTCCGCACAGGCGGCACTTGACAATCCCTTCGGCCCCGGTCTGGACGGTGAAGGCACCGGAGGTTTGCCTATCAAGGTTCCTCAGTTTGAGAGTCTTACCGAAGAACAGGCAAACGAGGAGAATGTGGATACCCAATCCGAACTCGACTACGGTGAAGCCAAGCGCTTGGAACGTAAACGTGAGTGTGCATATCTTGCCTTGAGTAACACGAGAATACTAACACCGGTCTATAGGTATCCTCGAAGACGATGAGCCACTACCCAGAGTGCCTAAGCGCTCTAAGAAAGGTATCCAGCACGCTCCCGTCTTCCTTCTTTCCGAACGCCAATTCACTAACCAACATGCCAGGCCTGCCTGACTTCCTCGACGACGAAGCATCAGGAGATCTGTCTGGTAAGCACTTCAATCCATCGATGTCCTTATCTCGTCTCACTAATCATCCACGCTATCTAGGTCGCGGTGATGGTCGCTTGTCCACCATGTCCACCCCTCTGCATCCATCCACCAAGCGTCATCCACTAGACGATGAGGACGACTATCAAACACCCGGACAGTCTGCACGCTCCCGGTCCAAGAGGCCCAAAAGAGAGTCTTCTCTCAACCGTTCTCTTGGTCAGCAGCGTCTCATCTTAAGAACCAAGATGGAAAACACACCTGACGCTGCTTCTCCAGCTCCTCCAGGCTCGGGCCACCCGATCTTGAACCGATTTGTTACCGAAACCACCCAGCCCACCTCCGCCCGTCGGCCACGACCTCTTACTCAACACCAGCTGGCTGTCGAGCAGAACCGTCGACAGCGGATTGAATACATTCTAGCTAAGCGCAAGAGCGAGGCGTACCGCGTGTTGCGTGCGAAACGGGAAAGCGAGATACCTATTGTCCGCTATGGTCGCCGTCTTTCGAATCTCCCGGAAGGCTATGACACAGATGAAGAAGAGAAGGCCTGGGGCAAGGGTGGATTGGTGCCGAAGCCCGACGAGGAAGAAGACTTCGGTGAAAGTGCTAGTTACTTCTTGTCTGTGATCCGCAAGGCCGCCAGACGCTTGGATCGATGGGATTACGATGATGCCAATGGCCCTAAGCGTGATCGCAAGGCAGAACGCGAGGAGCGCCAGAAAGCGAGGGAGATGAGGCTTGCTATGGACAACTCGGGTGACCTTGCTGGGCGCATTCCATCATCCGCTCGTAGTCGCGCCCGTGCTGCTCGCAATGCCAAGCGCAAGCTCGCCAATGCGGCTGCCAGTACCCCATCCGCCAAGGAGCCAGGCGCTGCCAGCTCCTCACGGTCCAAAGCTAACCGCAATCGGTCCCAGCGCGATGCCGAAGGCGCAGCAGCGGCTACCCCAGACGCAACCAAGGATGGTCTGGAGGCACCTGGCCGTGACCATGAACTCTCTCCAGTGCCTGGCTCGACCCACCTGGGCGATGATGATGAAGGTGAGGAAGGACTAGACGACATTGACCGTGAACTTCTCGGCGAGGGGAGCGGAGATGATGACGGCGCTCCGACACCAGCGGCTCGCACGTCTCGACCGGCAGAACCAGGCTACGAGGATAGCTTTATGGAGGGAGGCGATGCAGATGAGGACGCGGAAGGTCTCTCATCTGATGACAATGACGACGAGGAAGTTGATGACGAGGATCTCGATGAAGGAGAAGCGGAGGGGGACGCTGACGAGAATTCTTCCACGCTCGAAGGCGGCAATGGGTATGCTGCCAGCGAGACCTCTTCGGTAGCCGGCGCGGAGGGCGACACAGTTCTAGCTGATGATAAAGACGAGACTATGACCGATATCTGATCATTTCTCTCCGGGATTTGATGAGGTTTTGAGCTTTCCAAGCACTGACCTCCATCCAATTACTTCGGGTGTGCATTTGTCGTGATTGAAGCTTATCTGGTGCATATTTGACCCTTTCTCTTTACCTGCTCCATCAAGCCTGAGTCCTTCCTTTCGCTTTTTATCCCTTGTGTCTTGTTTTACAGTGTACGATTATCCCCCAACCGGTTATCTATGTTTCTACTTCAATTCCACTTCAATTCCACTTCAATTCCACATGTATTTCCCTTTGAGTTTCCCTGTCACAAATTCTACATACCCTAGTCGGGATTGGTTGAAGCTTCTGAAATGATGTACGTAGGTCAAGGAAGCATTCTTAAAAAGCATGCGCTCGTTGTCGGAGTTGCCCCCGGACGTAGCGTGACCCGGGGGATGCAGGTATACTGCGGGGAAAGAGGTGGGGTCAACCTTCTCTTCCCTCTTCGCCCCCGGTGGAATCTGTCCAGTACCGTAGAAAGTCAGAATGGCCTCGGACTTGGGGGTTGTTGCATGGAGCTATTTCAGCAACACCTGCACCCTGACGACATCGGCACGAGCGCACATTGACACATGTTACGGGGTTGTAGGCGGGACGCAAGGAGGCAGGAGACCCTAGCGAGGTTCAAGGTTGGGTTCTGTGCCTGACAGTTTCAAGGAGCACACCGATCAATATGTTGTGTCTCCGATGTAGGATGCTTGACTGTGTGCCTGATGGTAAGTAAGGATGATTACCGAGGACGAGTCTCTGGTTATTCTGCATTTTGCATTGCGCTTGCATTGGGATTGGTGAGTTACTGGGAGATATCGGGTTTTGGGTGTTGTTGTTGTTGTTGTTGTTGTTGTTGTTTGGGAAGATGACCTCCTTCATTAGGATGAGAGCGAGCAGGCATGAGTAAGTGAGTGAGACAGTCAGACAATTTGCATGTGATTGCGGGTGGCTCCCCCTCTGTCGGGGCGGTGGATTTGGTGGATTCGGTGGGTTTTCCTCCTTGTGTCTTTCCTTCCACTCCCAACATTCCTGAGCTCCTCTGAGTTTGGGTAAGGTGAGCTTTTGCTTGTTTGCTTCCCGATTGATTCACAGTGGTAGGTACAGTAACTTACTTACCTCTTACTTACCTCTTACTTTCTACCTCCTACCCAACTTATCTATTTTATTTACTTCGCTCGCCGTGAGTCTTTGAGTCTCAGTCTATTCTTCCCTTTCCTAGAATATCCCCACATTTTGTCAATTGCTGCTGTTCTTTGAAGTGTTTTTTAAAAGCATAAAGATCCTTACACTCAGCCTCTGTTCTCTTGCCCTTCGTTCTGCCGATCCACTGCAGATCCTGCACCCTATTTCCACCACCTCACCAGCCCACACCCACCCACCAGTCGTCCACGCTCACCCACGGTCACACTGCTCGTAGCCTCGTACCGCTTCTGCTCCACCGAGGCGTTGAAACTAGCTGCTGAAGTTAGTCTTCAGTGACCCAATCGGTTTGTGGTTCAATTTCTCCTCTCTCTATCCTCTCGCATTCCTTCCATCCCCTCCATATCTGGCCACTGTCTGTGTGTTTGCAGCATTTAGCACGCTCTGGCCCTCTCTTTTCTCCTCTCCGATCCTCTGCCGCTCGTCTTCCACACCCCCCACCCCAAAGCACACAACGTTGGCTGACACGATCGTCATATAAACCCCAGAGCGCAATTCGGCCTGTCCAGACTGCCACTTATTCGGACTTTTTAAAAGCCACTGGAGCGCCAGCTTGACGTCCTTGAATAGAGCTCCGTCCACAACCTTTCACGACATTGAACGAGAAAAGGATCCCCTGCTGTTCCTTGGTTTGCCCTATTGTGCAGATCACCATCCATTGCATCTTTCAGTTCTCATTCAATTCGAGGTACCACAACATCCTCGCCTGTCATGTCTGATGAACCCACGATCCTCCGGCCGCGTCCGCGGCGCGTGTTCGACCTCACCCCCGAAGAGCCCTCCTCCCCTGCCGAGCCAGCCAACCCGGACCTGTTGAATCCTCGCGAAGGCGGTTCGACGAATGTTAGCCGCAACGTATCGATCATGAACCTGACCTCGCCAACTCTTGTCGGGATCTATTCTCCGACCGCCTTTGAAGGCACGCGCGACGAATCTTCGCCTTGGGGCACGGAAGCTCATACCCCCGAAGCTCTGAACGCCGGCATTCGGCCAGTCATCCAAGGGCCAGCACCGGGGAAGCTGCAGCGAACGCGGTCACGCCTCAGTCAGGGACTCTTCCGCGGGGTCATCCTACCCCAGGCGCTGAAGAGCGCCTTTCTGCTTGGCTTTGGTGTGGTGTACGGAATCATTACGATCCACCTGCACGAGAACCATTGGATCACGCCGGTGAAGCTGGAGAACGTCCATTACTACGGATCATGGCAATATCTGGCATTCTGGGGCGTTGCGGGAGTCATTCTGGGCAACGTACTCCCGTGGTTTGACCAGTTTTCGGACGACTTGCTCAACGACGGCAAGCAGGCTGCTTCTTCGGCGAGTGACGAGGAAACTGCCGAACGCACACTGTCGTGGGTTGCGGCGGTCCGCAGCGTCGGGGCCTTTGTCGGAATCGCATTTGCTATGGTAAGTCGTGCCATCCCAGGCTTACATGAAGCATCGGATATCTAACTTTCCTTGTGATCTTCAGCGTCGACTACCATGGGAATCTACGACCCAAGCTTCGGTAACCCTCGCACTTGTGAACCCTGTCTTGTGGTATCTCATCGACCGCACTCGGACAGGGTTCGTCTTGTCGACTGTGGTTGGTTTGGCTGGAATGGGCGTTGTGTTGGGCGTCAACCCCGATCTGGTGCCATCCTCTCTGGAGCCCTCTAGCCCCGCCCTCCTGTTGGCCAACGTCACGGGGCGAGACTTCGGTTTGGACATTGGGATGACACAGGAAAGCATTGCTGTGCGGACATGGATTGCCAGTGTTTTGTTCTGCGCCAGCGTTTGCTTCGGAAACATTGGCCGGCAATTGGCCATTGGCAATTCCGGCAGAGAGTCGCTCAAGAAGTGAGCGATTTGATGAGACATTGCTGCTTTTTCTTCTTTACAATATGTGATCATCACTAGTAATGCCTTCGTATACACACCCTCTTGTCTCATTTCCATGCTTTGGGCTTTTGCCCTTCTCAACATGCATTCTCATTATGCCCCATCCGGACATGATGGTCTGCTACTAGATAGAAATGATACCATGAGCATGAGATCTGCCAGACCACACCAGCAGAAGTGAGAAATATCTATAAGTTGTTTGTTCTTTTGCTTTATCATTTGGGTATTACAACGCGACTCAGCATCAAGAGGCGCGGAAAGGATTGTAGAATCAATCATTGCAATCCCTACTATGGAGTTCAAGCAGGCACTGCACCCAAGATCGACACTCTGCTAAAGAGCAGTTTGTCTCCATTCTGTTTGACGATTTCCGTACTTCATAGGTTATACAAGTATATCCTCGTAGGAACGCTTTTTTTAAGAATGTTGTTTTAATGCGTTGTTCATGTGAAGAAAAAAGAAAAAGAACGAGGAGGATGCCGCGATGAAGCGTTCTTTTGTAGGGTGTGTGGGTGGTCTGTGCACTGGTCATGTGATCGATAGGCGAGCTTCTCTGCCGATGCAGAGTGTAATGAGTAAGCTGTTCTTATGTACCCGGCATAATTGAACTAGTGAGTGAACTACGCACACCTGAAAAGGCAAGGCCAATGTCCGGCCGGGGCCCGGGGGGCACCACTGTTACCCACAGTGGTACAGCAGTTATGATGATCTATCAGCTGATTTCCACTTACAGCACTGAGTGAGTAATCGCCACTGACAGTCATCCACTCCAGGTCCGAAAGCGGCGAAGTACCCCCGCGGCGGGAACAGTGACTGATCAGTGATGAAGCAAGAACCGCAGCAGCGGCAATCCCAGAAGATGGGCACTTGCACTTTACCCCTCCCTCAGCTTCCCTTATTTTTTTTTTTTTTCTTCGAGCTATCTGGAACAATTTGCACCTAAGCCACACCTGGCAAACTCTTTACCACTCCGTTCCTGATCCCTTGGAGTTTTTCAATTGGCTTCTACTCTTCAATCCTTCCCCCAGCTCTCAACATCTTGTCTTTCCCGCGGAGTTTGAGGTATGTGCTCCTAGTCTCCTACTCTTTCCCGCCACTAGACTACTACTAGTAGCCCATCGGAACTTCCCAAGTTCCAATTGAACCATTCGACCTGGAGGGGTGGAGGGGTTGTGGGGGGGCACTCCTCCTCCTAACCTGAACATTTTTCTCCCCTCCAGCATCACTCCTCTTCATCTCTGACTTGTCTACTCCCAGTGTCTGTCTCACTGTCAGTGTCTCTCAGGATGTCTCAACAAAAGTCTGGTGAGTTTTGAACTTTCTGCCCACTGCTCTGCCCTCTCCCACTCGGTATACCCAGGTGCAGCAGCTTCACGGGAAACGGTCCGGTCGCTGTCTCCACATCGCGGCATTGCCTGTTGCTTTGCTTGTCAATCGAATGAATTCCAGGGCTGACTCAAGACTATTGTGTGCCGTTGATAGCCATCCTCTCCGTCTACGATAAGACTGGTCTGCTCGACCTGGCCAAGGGCCTCGTCAAGCAGAATGTCCGGTTGCTTGCCTCCGGTGGTACGGCGCGGTTGATTCGGGAGGCGGGCTTCCCTGTCGAGTGAGTCATCATACTGATGTGGTCATGACCGGGGCCATATTCTCTTCGTTCTTTTCAGCAAGATGTAGAGCTGATGGCCGATTAGAGATGTCTCCGCCATCACTCATGCGCCGGAGATGCTGGGTGGTCGTGTCAAGACTCTCCACCCTGCTGTCCACGGTGGTATCCTGGCTCGTGACATCGAGTCCGACGAGAAGGACCTGGCCGACCAGAACATCTCCAAGGTCGACTTCGTTGTCTGCAACCTGTACCCCTTCAAGGAGACGGTGAAGAAGGTCAATGTCACCATTCCCGAAGCCGTCGAGG